TTATATGCTTTTTTCTTTATTCAAAACTTTGAACATGTTCATGAACTTTGAACCTAGGTTCAATAGGAACACTAAATAGTACCAAAATTATGTGATTCTGATAGATAGTCTGAGAGGTAATTAATTTTTTGAGAAGAATTTTTTATGCCAATTTCGTTCCTTTTCACGGAACTAAGCCTAAATTATGATAATGGTGCTTGTCATATTTTGTTTTTAAAAATCTCTACATTTTATAGACCATTCTGGTCGCACTGAATAATGAATTCAATCCTAAAGAGACCATCACTACTACCACCGAATTAAATGCATGGGGTATATGCTTCCCACACAATTTTTCTCAGCCTGTTATGAGATCCGAGGCTTACAAAAGTGTAAGTTTTGATCGAGTCACAATGGATGAACTCTTCAATGATCCTGTTAATTCATTTCAAATCCCCAAATCGGTCGAAAAGTATTTAATGGAAAGTCCAAATTAAATGATGATTATGTAATAAGTTTTCAAATGAATTATTTGAAGATCCAGAATCCTGTTTTTGAGTTTTTAATAAACCTTATATATTTATTGAAGTTTTTTTTTACATTTTAATGAATGACCTTATAATTTGTCACTAAATCAACAGTCTTTTTCGCAATAATTACATTTTTGGCGAGGTGTTCAACATTGTTTTGAAGAATTTTCTTAATCGGGGGGGTTTGAATTTTGTAATCACAATACATTTGAATTACGCAGTCGAATAATAATGGTTTAAAAGGATTTTTAACAAATGTGAATCAAACAAACATGATTTTTAAGAATGTGTTTTAAAACATTTGCCATCCCTAATGACATATACACTAAATTAACGTGAAATTAATAATAAATTAATATCTCTACTACTCACACAGTAAAATTAAATAAAATGATTCAAATATCTTGATACCTAAAATACCTTGTATATTTAACTAGCGTAAACAAAATGAAGTTAATGAAGTTGTATAATACATATTTACGAATTTAACGAATTAGAACCTTCACAAATTAATTTGGGTTTAATTAAGTGAATAAAACTAATGTGAATAAAAATAAAAATAAAAATTCGATAATTAATACTGTATCGATTTTTGTAGATTTTTTAATATATAATAAATAATGAATCATTCCGACCAACTCGCCGACAATAATCATAGTTACTGACAATTAATTCACAGATAAGGCTTATTCTACAGACGATTAATTCACAGGCAAGTTCATTTCATAAACAGTATAATTCACTAGCAGCACATTTACAAATTGTTTTTTTTAATAAATTGTACTAACCTTAAGCGATAATGACCAGAATTAATTTGTCAATTAAATGAGCTGTCGGTAAAACATACTGTCCAAGAAATGAACTTGTCTGTGAATTAATCATCAGTAAAATAAATCTTGTTTGTAAATTAATTGTCGTGGTGAAATAATACAGGCCTATAATGGATAACAGACGATAATAAATATCTGTAAAACCATTGATTTATACTACTATACCGATATTTTTTTTACCTACTATAAAATAATTTATAACAGCCAGTTTCGTCTATTATTAATTAAAATCTCAATGAAGAAATAACAAAGCTGATAAAAGGCAATGAAACTAATCAAAAGTGATGAAACTGATGAAAGGTGACAAAACGGATAAAAGGTGTGGAACTGACAAATGTGTGAATCTGACAAATGCGCGAAACTTACAAAAGTGATAATAAAACCGCAATATGCAGGACTATAATAATAAGATTTGTCTTATGAGTTAAATTGTTTATTTGTGTAAGATAATGAGGCTTATAGAACAGGATTCAGAAAATAAAAGTCAAATATTATTTAGCCTCATTGTATAATGCAAATCATGCTTGCTTTGATTTGGCCACATTTTATGGTCACGAAAATTATATCAAAATTGAAGATCAGCTAACGCTAAAGAACTAATAAACAAAGCTACATAATATTTGCAACAACTTTTTCAAGCATCCTAGCCGCAAGAAATAATCTTGGTGAATAGTAAAATCAAGAATCTTTCGCTACGAACTTTGATGATCAATGTTATCTATTCATCAAACCAGTAAAAAACTGACAAAAATTGAAAAAAAATAGAAAACACACGTGGAAACGCTCACAATAAAAAAAAGGTATTTTATACCATAAATTGATAATAATTTCACAATTGGTAACTTTTTTTTTTTTTATAAAATGAGAAATTGAAATTAGAATTGATGAGCAAACCAAAATTATAACGATAAAGCGTCAATTATAATTAAATGCTAAATATTATCATTTATATAATTATATAGTTTATTACACTTACAGATATCACGTGATAATCGATGTACGTAAGATGTCAAAGTTAATTTTTTGATAAAATTTCTCAACAACTATCCAATAGAACCTGCTAGAAATTTTTTAGCCAATAGTATAAATTAATAGAATTAATTTAAAAAAACTTTCATCGAATTCTGTCAAGTATTGTCGTTCAAAGTTTGGAAAATTTTCGTCGCCTCCTAAGACAATGGCTACAGCAGAAATTTTTTAACTTTGAAAGAAAATTTTAGAAACTATGTGACAGAATTCGATGAATTTTTTTTAAAATGAATTCTGCTATTTTATAGAATTTATTTTTAAAAAAAATTCATCAGATTCTATCAGAAATTTGTTGAGAATTTTCGGTCAAAGTTTAAAAAATTCCAGTCGCGGCAACTTTCTTAGGAGGCGGTGAAATTTTTCCAAACTTTGAACGAAAAGTTCTCGACAACTACACGACAGAATTCGATAAAAAATTTTTAAAATGAATTCTACTATTTTATAGAACCTATTTAAAAAAATTTACATCAAATTCTGTCAAGTAATTTTCGTTCAAAGTTTAAAAAAAAAATTGTTTTCTGTGATGGTGAAATTCTTCCGAGCTTTGACCGAAAATTTCTTGACCATTACTTGATAGAAGTCGATGAAATTTTTTTAAATGAATTCTATTAGTTCATAAAAATGATTTAAAAAAATTCTATCGAGCTCAATTGGATAGATGTCGAGAATTTTAAGAAAAATTCTACTTCGATAGTACAGTATATCGGTTATCACGTGATATTCAGTAGGTGCAAATCTATGTGATTCAAAGACCTTCCCGCTGTCGGTATCAGGTATCGGCAATAGTTGGTAGCTCCCCGCCCCTCGTGACTTTTATATAATAAACCTTTAGGGTTAGGTCACGTTGGGGTGATTTATTGATTAATGTTTTGTGGGGAAATCATCACTGATGATTATATAAATATAAGTGTTCCAGTTAGCTGATAGTCTGATCAGCCGGCTAGTGATATTAACTAGGAAAACGGGATCCGTTAGTTCCGGATAGGGATGTTACGGTCCTACAAGGACCATGGTCCGGACCGGTCTTTTGGACCAGTCCAACCAGTTTTCGGTCCTAA